GTCCTCGCCGTGGCTTCGTTTGCGGTAAGATCGGTCACACCTCCGTCCGCTGTTTCCCTCGCCTCGAGGACCTGTTTCGTCAGCGCTTCGGCCCGTCGCCCGAGCTCCCAGACTGGCACAGCTTGCTTCGTCGTAGGGTTCCGATCTTTGACCTGGAGATGGATGTGATTGTTAGTGCCCTGCATGTGATGTATGCTAATGACTCTAGTGTGCTTCCTTCTTATTACCCCTTGTTGCCTAGTGTAGGTGTGCCTAGCTTAGGCTCCTCTGCTGCGTCAGGCGTAGGATCCTCTGCTTTGTTTAGCCTTGGTGCTTCCGTCGCAACTTCATCTCCGGCCGCCACTGCCCCTCTTTTCTTCACCTTGGACTCTGGCGATTCCCGGTGTTTCTTCCGCGACTCTACTATGCTGACGCCGCTTCCTGTCCATGCCGCAGTTTCTCTTGCTGACCCCTCCTCCGGCCCTGTAGTCGCCCACAGTTCCACCTCCCTTCCCTGTCCGGCGGTTCTTTCGAGCACTCTCACAGGTCTGCACATCCCCTCGTTCTCAAGGAACCTAGTTGTTGTCGGCTGCCTCCAAGACCTTGGCGTCACCACTACGTTACCTGGACACGAGCAGTACGCTGTCTGTACCGAGGCCGCCATTGGTGCCCCCCTTACCACATTCCCACGGGACCCGGTGTCCGGCCTCTTCACACTGGACACTGTGACCTCCCCGGCTGGGACGCCCCCTCAGGTGGCTGCGGCTACTCGGGTTGCCGCCGCTTGCTCCTGTCAGTCCCTCTCTCAGCCAACTCTCCTTTAGCACCACCGCCTAGGTCACTCTGCGCTCCCGCGTCTGCGTCACATGTCCGAGCACGGTCTCGTCCTAGGCCTCCCTGGGTCGTTCCCCGAGTTTCCCTCCTCCTCGACCCCACCGTGCACGCCCTGTATCGAGGGCCGGCTCCGCCGTGCTCCTCACTCCTCCTCATTTCCCCCTACTGCTGCACCGCTACAGACCCTGCACATGGACGTCTGGGGCCCCGCCCCCGTCCATGGGCCGCGTCGAGAGCGCTACTTCCTAGTGCTTGTCGACGACTACACGCGCTACACCTCTGTGTTCCCCCTAGAGTGGAAGGCGGACGTGCCTGACGTTCTCATCCCGTGGCTTGTCTCTGCACGTGTCCACCGCGGTCTCCCTGTCCTGCGTCTCCACTCCGACCGGGGTGGTGAGTTTGCCTCCGGTGTCCTTGGTTGTTTCTGTCGTGCGGAGGGCATCACCAAGAAGTTCACCGTGCCGGACTCCCCGCAGAAGTATGGGGTCGCTGAGTGACACATCGGTTTGGTTATGGAGGTGGCTTGCACCTCCATAATCCATGCCGGTGCCCCCCATTTTCTGTGGCCGTTCGCAGTTCGCTACGCCGCTCACCAGCTTAACCTGTGGCCGCACCTCCAGCGGCCGCAGGTTTTGCCGACCCTTCTTTCGTCCGAGTCACCTGGTGACGCGTCTTCGTTTTACGTCTGGGGCTGCCTTGCTCACGTTCGTGCCTCTGGCAAGAACAAGCTCACCACCCGCACCCTTCCGTGTGTCTTCCTCGGTTTCCCCCTTGACGCGTCTGACCGGCAGTTTTACCACCCGCCGTCTCACCGGTTCTTTCACTCCCGCGACGTCAACTTTGACGAGCCTGTCTCCTTCTACCGCCGTTTCCCTCACCGAGGTCCCGCGGTTACCCCCCCCCCCTTATTCTGGTCACCCCTTCCCCGGTCGTCCCTGCCCCTCTCCCTCCCCCTCCCTGCCCTGCCCCCTCTGGTGTGTCCCACGTCACCCCCCTCACGTCGGTTGTCCCGGTTGAGGAGTCTGCTGACTCTGGTGGTCCTGCGGCACAGTCCTTGCCGCCCGCCCCTCCTCATGTGTCTCCTCCTCCGCCGCCTTCGCAGCCGCTGTCGCCACAGCTGTCGCAGCCGCCATCACCGCCGACGCCGCCACCGCAGCCGTCAGTGAAGCCGCCGCCGCAACAGCCGTAGCCGTCGCCGCAGCAGTTCGTTGACTCTGAGGGTGCTCGAGTTGGGGTGGGTACTAGTCCTGGGACTCCTATCTTGGCTTGTCCCAGCGGGCCTGTGGGTGGTAGTGGTGCTCGAGGGGTTTTGAGCTCTGGGGGTGTCCCTTCTGGAAGTGCTCGAGTGGAGTGTTCTGGAGGTAGCCGTCCGGCAGCTTGCGGTCCCGGTGTCCCCGTCGCACCGCCGCAGCAGCCATCCCCGCCGGTGTCAGCTCTTCGCCTGCTCGGCCTTCCGTGGCCTGACCCTGCATCTGTGCTTCCTCCTCCTCCTGTCTACGGCCCTGTGTTCCCTCCCCTGGACTCGTCTCCTGCTCATCTTCCCCCCATTCCCCTCATGTGTCTCCTCCTCTGTCCCCTGACTCGACGCCTCTGTCTCACGTCTGGTCTCGCCCTCCCTCCCGTGCTCGCCCTGTCTCCCCTGTTCCGCGCTCTCACCCTATGTTGCTTCGTTCCCCCGCGTCTCGTCCTACCCTTCTGCCGTTGCCTCCCTCGTCCTCCCTTGTTGTTGCGCCTCCCCCTCTGTCTGACTACCTTCGTGCCGCTCGTCCTCTTGTTCCTCGGGTCCTTGCCTCTTTCGTTACCGAACCGTCTGTTCCGGTCTCGTGTCTTGACGCTCTTGTCGCTACGGTCGCTGACTTTGCCTCTACTCGCCGCCTTGACTACGCCACCACTCTGGTCTCTAACCCTGCCAGTCCTCCGTCTGTCGGGGGTGCTCCTGCCCTCGGCAGTGACGTCCTGGAGGACTGCCAGTACGAGCTTGCTTTCTTGGCCGAGGCTGCTCCCCATCTCTGCTCCATGCTACTAGTCCCTGAGGGTGACCCAGACGCTTTCGACATCCCGAACCCTCGCACTTACGCTGAGGCGGTTTCGGGACCTTGGGCCTCTCAGTGGATAGCTGCCATGGAGCAGGAGATGGCATCTTGGAGATCCACCGGCACCTACATCGACGCAGTTCCCCCACCTGGGGTGAACGTAGTCGATGGCCGCTGGCTCTTCAAGGTGAAGCGCCCTCCTAGAGAGCCGCCTGCGTTCAAGGTGCGCTACGTGGCTAGAGGTTTCAGTCAGCGTGAGGTGGTGTACTTCTTTCAAACCTTCGCTCCGACCACGAAGATGACTACTCTTCGGGTGCTGCTACACGTAGCAGCTCAGCGTGACTACGAGCTTCACTCCCTCGACTTCTCCACTGCGTTTCTTCAGGGCAGTCTACAAGAGCAGGACTACCTGCACCGCCCTCAGGGTTTCACCGGTACCTTCCCTCTTGGGACCCAGTGGCTCCAACGGTGCCCCGTCTACGGCCTGCGGCAGGCTTCCCGTAAGTGGCAGTTCTTTCCGTCCTCTACAGTCCCCTCGCTCGTTGTTCGTGCTCGCCAGACTCCTTTCTACATCCTTGTTTACGTAGACGACCTAGACTTCGCCACTGCAGACAGGGACGCACTGGCCTACGTGCAGGCAGAGCTGCTGAAGAGACACACCTGCATTGACCTTTGAAAACTGCGCCACTACCTTGGCTTGCAGATCTCCATGGACAGAGCAGCGCGCACCATCACTCTCACACAGTTACACTTGGTGCGCTAGGTCCTTCAGAGAATCGGCTTTCAGTTCTCCTCCGCACAGCCCACTCCTCTCCCTCTAGACCACAAACTCTCCACTCCACTTCCTGAGGAGTCAGTAGAGCCCACTGGTCCTTACGCAGAGCTGGTGGGTTGCCTCATGTACCTGATGACTTGCACTCGCCCACATCTTGCATACCCTCTCAGCATCCTCGCTCGCTTTGTGGCCACAGGCAGACACCGACCTCAGCACTGGTCTGCTGCTAAGAGGGTTTTGCGTTATCTTGCGAGTACATGGGGCATGGGGTTAGTGCTAGGAGGACGCAGGCCTGTGATCCTTACTGGACACACAGACTCTTCTTGGGCAGACGACGCCCAGACCCTCAGGTCCTCGCAGGGCTACTGCTTCAGCCTTGGTTCAGGTGCCGTCTCCTGCAGAGCTACCCCCTCCTCGTCTGTTGCCCACTCCAAATGTGAGGCCGAGATCTACGCCGGTGCCATGGCGGCACAGGAGCTCCGCTGGCTGACCTTCTTGCTCACTGACTTAGGTGAGCGGCCTAGCTCTGTCCCGGTCCTGTACGCTGACAACAGGGCCATGATCCTCCTGTGTCAGGAGCCTCGACTCGAGGGCAGAGCGAAGCACATCCAGCTGCGGTACTTCCTCCTGCGTGAGCTCGAGCAGTGCCGCCAGGCGCGCGTAGTACACTTGGCCTCCGGTGCCAACACAGCTGATAACTTTACGAAGGCACTTGCGCCTGAAGATTATCAGCGACACTATGTACAGCTGGGTCTCATTCTTGTAGCCACTCACTTGCTAGGGCCTTGACTTTGTATTGTCCTTGATATATATTTTTTACCCTGACTGGCCTTGTGGCCTCTCTCAGTGGCTGGAGTAGTAGTGCCGCCCTGGCCTTGTGCTTGTCTTGTCTGTACTCCTTTTGACTGGCCTTTAGGCCCTTGTCTCAGAGGCTGGACTAGTAGTGCCGCCCTGAGCTGCTTCTTCCCTTGTTAGGCACTGCCCCTATATAGTTTGGGGGTGTGTCAAACATAACTTATGCTGTTACTGTAGACTATACAGGTTTGTGCCTTATAGGGTACAACACCTTGGTCTATATTACCCTGTATCACCCTGGTCTAGTCATTCATTCTTTCTGTTACACTCCACCACTTGTCCTGGTGCCTCGGTAATGCATTATAGTGAGCGTCGGATTCTTGGTAAGGAGAAACATATTGCTAGGTCATGAAGTTACCAACAAAAAACACGTCTACTAGACTCATCAAACCCAAAAACATAACAAAGCAATAGGTGCGACAGCAGGTAGGGACAGTCTCACTTCCTCGCCCCTTTATTATTTATCGCCATGCATCACCCTCTTCCATGCGTCTCTCACAAGGCTAGTGAGAGCAGCTCTCCATCCTCCCCTCATTGCAGGAAATGCCTAGTAGGGAGTGGACCCAATCATGTTCCCCTGCGGCCAGTAGTCACACACCCAAATGCCCCCCCCATCCGCGCACTGGGCAGCAGCGCACCCAACATGCGTGGTATCCCGCCACACCACCTGCGTGTAGTGCCCGCACTGCTTGCCATCCGCACACCCCTCCGGCACGGCACTGTACGTCCAGTCCTCCTTCTCTGCCACCCACGACTGCACTGCCGCCCGGTCCTCGGCACTGTTCAGCTGCACAGGCGCCTTCCAGTACAGGTTCTGCCCGAGTCCGTCAGCCCCTCCGTGCTCCAGGTTGCATCCATTGGAAGCGAGCTCAGCTGCCCACTGCTGCGCTGCGAGTGCCACTCCCTCGTCCCATGCGAGGTCCGGCATGCCCACTTCCTGCCGCACCTTGTTGTGCTCCTCCAGAATCGCTGCCACGTCCACATCGCTGCTACCATTGCTGCCGCCATCGCCACTGCTGCTGGTGTCACCACTGCTGCTGGTGCAGCCACTAGGACTGGTGGTGTCAGACCCGGCCCAGTTACCAGCAGCAACTGAAGTTGTCTCTCCCAACTGCCGTGCCTTGGCGCCAGGCAGCAGCCTGCGAGCCTCGCGCTTTGCCACACGGCTAGCAGCGGACGTGACAGCAGCGGATGTGACTCCAGTGGATGTGACGTCAGCAAGTGCTGGCAGAGTGAAGGAAGCAGCGATCATTGCGAATGCTGGCGAAAGGGGTTCGTTAGGGAGGGACAGAGAACAGGAGGAGGGGGAGTGAGACGAGCTAACGAGTGGCCCATTAAAGAAAAGAAAAGACAACCATGTGTGCAGTAAAGTAACCCAGACACGCATTTCGTGTGCAAAGGGTAAGTTGTGCTGAGAACTGCAGTGCATGTCACGGGAACCCAGCATTGCAGCAAACACCAATGGCTATTCGTAGGGAGAGGCGAGATCACACGCGAACTCGCACCAACTCATCAAATGCGGCGGATCAAAACGAGACGGTGCTTCCTCCGGAAGGTCGGAACAGTCACCCACTATAGCGGCGTATCAGAAAGGTCGTTCGGAAAGGTCGGAGCACTCACCCAATGCAGCGCAGAGACGCCTCAACAGGCTGACGGCCACCATGATGTTAGAGAGGCAGCAGAGAATGGGGAAATTCGGAGCCGGAAAACGGCAGGTGAGCTCGCTATCCGGGAATGCCTTTGAAATCAGGGCGGATCAGAATCGCGCTGAACCGAAGCCACTGAAAGATGCTCAGATTGCGAAAACTCATATTGCTCGGAAGGTGGACATGAGATGGTAGTGGCCTCGAATGCTGTGAGAGTGAGCGATAAATCATGGCTATCGCATGCCTCCTTTTATACTCCAGAGAAGCTCCAGCGATGAAGGCTGAGGATGGTATCGACTCGAGCTCGGAGCTAGAAGGACGCGCCTCGCTGCGACGTCGCGCAAGGCGAAACGGACTGGCAAGACGTCGTCGTCGTGCGACGACGGTCGTCGTGGTGGGGGAATGGCGAGATGGCCGGCAGCAAGCATAATCGCGGGAAAGAGGCCGCGAGGTGGCATTGAAACTGCGTCGCTAGGACAATGAGGAAACTCGTGCGGCAGACTTCGCCTCCCCTAGCCTTGAATAATCGTCCAATAATTCTGCAGTAGTCAGAGCAGCGGAGATTTCAAGGCAAGGTCCGGATCCGACGCATTAGGGCGTGTCCCTCGCCTTTGTTTTAGATTCACTTAGTACGGTTGAGTCTGGTGCTTTATGTTCCAAAGCGGTCAAGTGTTTGAACGGTTCCCGTCCGCGGTCAAGTGTACGAGTGGGACACGCCCTACGGGGTTGGTCAGCCACGAAATCGCGTTTCGCGAAAAGGGGAGGGGAAGGAAATTCTGTGTGCATGCGAAGGGTGGCGCCAGAGTGTTACTGTATTACGCAATTTGTTATGAATGAACAGGCAAAGGGTAATGAATTTTCCATTCCTTACCGAGCGGTACTGCTATCGCGTACGCTCGAACACACCCGAAGCCTCGGGACTGTTCCGGACCTCCTGACAGAACCGCCTCGGCTTCTCCAGACCTTCCAGTTCGACCTTCGGAAGTTCTCTGGGCCTCGCTTTGTCACTTCGAGACCCTTCGATCTCTTTCCCGAACCTTACCATCACATGGTTAGACTAGCTCTGGTGCTCTGGTGTTCTTTGCAATTCCTTGTATCATCATTCAGTGATTGAACATCTCGTTATTCATTTCCGCGCTACTCTGCTTGTTCATTCATAACACCTGGTATTCAGAGCCACTGTCCTCGCTCACCCGTTTTCGTGAGTTGATTTTTTTGGGGGGGGGGGGGGGGGGGGTGGTAAGTCCCTGACGTAAGCTGCAAAGCGGTTGCTCGCGAATTAGATTGATTAATTCGCCCAACTACGATAGCGTTTGCGCTTACCTGAGTACAGGCACACGACGGAATTCCCCCTACCCCGGCGGAGCATTCGCCAAATGGACTAAGCTCAGTTCAACGAGCTTCGGGAGCAGTTCAACGCCATGAACGCACGCATGGCTACAGTGCTGGAGGACAACGAGCGACTTCGTGCGGAAGTTGCTGAGTTACGCCAGGCGCGAGAGGATTCGCGTCAGGAATCTGCCACCCAAGAGGAGGTCGCCAGCACCGGACGTGTCGAAACCGTCTTAGACGAAATCGCACGTGAGGTGTCACAGGAGCGCAAGGACAGTGAAGCCGCCGCAGCAGCTGACGTGGCAGCACGAGCAGCAGCAGCAGCAGCAGCAGCAGCAGCAGCAGCAGCAGCAGCAGCAGCAGCAGCAGGGACAGCAGCAGCCGCTCGGTCAGAAGCAGCCGCTACTGTAGCCACACCGGCGTTTATGCCGATCGTGACGACAGCGACGATCAAACCGACAATGTCGCCCCCGTTCAACCCCACAGATAAGAATACTACTGTTACGTGCTGGTTATTTTCGGCGGAACTTTATTTTAACGCCGCTGGGATCACTGCTGACGATTTAAAATTTCGACTGGCTGTATCACTACTGTGGGGACCTGCGCTAGATTGGTGGCGATATACTCTACAGGAGGGGGAGTTTTCGGCAGGCGACACACAGGGGTTTTTCGGAAACTTTGGGTCTGCTGCCCAAGGGTCAACCGCGATTTTTGGATCGACTAAGATTTGCACGTGGAAGGTGTGGGGTACAGCTCTGCGTGAACGGTTCGAGCCAATATCCGCCTCGGACAACGCGCGTACGAAGCTGGACAACTGGCGCCAGTGGAGTTCTGTGTGAGGGGTGAGGGAGAAATCAGTAAACGACTGTCTTATAATTCTTGTTTGAAACCTGCCTCTATTGATTGTCCTAGGATACCTTGTATCTGTATCCCACTTGTATTGTTATGAGAGGATCAACTGCATAGGCTCGTTACAGTACCAATGCATTCGATTTTCCAGCAACAGCAAGAGGAGACAACAGCAGGGTCGGGGGGTGGGGGGATGGGGGGAGGGAGAAGAGCAGAAGGGCAATACAGAGCAAGGACTTTGGAGAGGGACATGTGGGGAGCAAGCATGCTACTTACCAGAGAAGGGAGTTGCGCCAGGGATTTGGAGTCAGGCATTACGAAGCAAGCACTTGTAGGGTGGGCAGGTGGGGGGCAGGTGTGCCTCTTACCACAGAAGGGAGTTGCGGTGGGGCAGAGGAGTCGGGAGTGTGCTCCACAACAGCTCAAGGAGTATGGTGCAAAAGGCACGGCAATTCAGGAGGTGGACAGGTTGACAGAAATGTGAGAGAATGATCTGGTAGGATGATACAAACTTTCCTCGAGCTGATTTACCGACGGCGATTCGAATCCACTCGCCTTCAAGGTGAGCCAATCTTCTCCTTCCTGTAAGATTCTCTTTCCCTGCTACGACACTCCTTTGCCTCGCTCACACGCCTCCCCTACCTGCTCTCCAGGTACCTGCCCTACCGCTACCTGCCCTCCCGCTACCAGCCCTCCCACTGCAGCTCTGCTCACTGCAGACTCACCTTGAGCTGCAGACAAAGAGAGCCTCAATCTGAGCCCTGTCCGTTCCTGCGAGAGGCTCTTACTTGCCATGATGCTCCTCAGCCTCCCTCAAGCGTCCTTCCCTGTCGCTCTCTGGCTGTCGCTATGCTCCCTGCTGTCACATTGTAATAACCCACCTTGAGAGGTGCTCGGATCTCCTCTTTTCTGTGAACGGCTCTTCCCTTCCTATGCTGCCCTCCCTCCCCGCCCTCCCTCCCTCTCTCCCTCCCACAGCGGCGACATTCATTCCTGACCCACCTGACTTGACCAGCTGATGGGGTCATCTCCCTGTGTCCCTCTGCTTGACCTGTGAGGGGATAGCTCCCCTTGCCTCCTTCTACCGCCTTTCCCTGCTGCTCGCCCTCCCACTCCAGCTACCCTCATTCCCGACCCACCTTAAGCTGACTGGCAGATGGGGCCATTGGCTTTGCCTGGGGTGAAGGTCTCTCTGTGGGCTTTGGCTGCAGGACACTCTGCCCCTGCTGCCTTGCCCCACCTGCTCGCTCTCCTTTGACTGCCTTCCCCTGTTCCGCTTCCAGGGCGGCTATGCTTATTGCAAACATGTCGTCTTCTAACACCTTGTGCTTAGTGTCCACTTTGCTCTCTCGTTCTTTTCTCCTCTCCTCCTCCTTCTCTTCCTCTTCTTCCTCTTCCTCCCATTCGTCCTCAAATCCCTCATCGTCCTCCTCCTCTTCTTCCTCCTCATCTTCCTCATCCCCTTCCTCCCCCTCACCAGCAGCAGCAGCAGCAACCGCCTCTGCAGCCTCCATCTCAGCAAATAGAGCCTCAATGCGCCTATCCTCCTCATCCCCCTCCTCCTTCTCACCACCACTCCCAACACCACTCCCACCACCATCCCCACCACCTTTTACCTTTGACAACCCCACTTCTTTCCCCATAGCCTCCCTTGCTGCTCCTCCCGTGAGTCTCCCAGTTACCCTCTGCTCCTCCTCCACTCTGCCTGCCCCTCCCTTCGCTTGTGATACTCCTTGGCCTTTCCCTTCCGCCTCCCCCTCCTCCCCCTCCACCTCCTCCTCATATTCGTGTATCTCCACACACCCCTCCTGTTGTTTGTGAACAGGTTTGTGTGGGAGGGAGAAAGAGAGGGAGGAGAAAGGCGGAAAAGAGGGAGAGAGAGAGGGGGGAGAAAGGAGGAAGCAAAGGAAAGCTTGAACCTGTGAAACAGACCTGACAAAAGAAATCTTCCGCCTCCCTCTCCTCCCCTTCCACCTCCTCCTCATACTCGTGTATCTCCATACACCTCTCCTGTTGAGTGCGAGTTCGCGAAGCGAGAAGGAGAGAGGATATATAGGAAGCGATGGGAAAGGTTAAATATATGAAACAAATCTGGGAGCTTCCCTTCCTCCTCCCTCTCTCCCCCTCCACCTCCTTCTCTTCTCACACTCGTGTATCTCTACACACACCCCTGCTGTTGTGTGCGCGTTTGTGAGAGAGAGTAAAGGAGGAAGATCTGGCAAGACCTGACTTGCAATTGTTTCCCGCCTCTCACTCACTCACCTCACCATCCGCCCCACCCTGCTCTGCTAGTCGCACCTCAGTCAGTCATTCAGTCAGTCAGTCAGTCAGTCACCGCACCATCCCCAATTCTCCTCCCTGCTCCTCCTCCCCCCCCCCCCCCCCAAAACCGACCTCTCCTTACAACCCCCCCTCCCCCCTCCCCTACCCTCCAGCTTCTCCTTCCCGCCTCTCACCTCAGCATCCGCCCCAGCCTGCTCGGCGAATCGCAGCTCGCCACGTAGCTCCTCCACCTTGGCCTGGCACCCCTCCAGCTGGCGCTCTATCATCGCGCCACGTCGCCGCAGCACCCCCACCGCCTGGGTGGCGGATCTTTCGGCGTAGATGCCGTCTCCCAGCAGAAGGGTCATCGCGTTGGTGTGCACCAGACGACCAGGGAAGAAAGCAGCCCGGCCGAAGGGGACCTGCTGGGAGAAATGGGGGTGGGAGGAAGGAGCAGGCGTGTGAGGGTAGGAGAGCAGACAGCGCATTTCCATTCCATTGCCGCAGCACCCCTACTACCTGGGAAGCAGATCGTTCAGCGTAGATGGCGTCTCCTAGCAGGAGAGTCATTTTACTGGTGTGCACGACACGACCAGGAAGAGTGCAGAGCAATGCAGTGGTCCGGGACCAGAGGGTGCGTGTGGGAATGCAATGATCAGGTCGCCGCAGCACCCCCACGACTTGAGCTGCTGCCCTTTCAGCGCGCCCTATATGACTTTTGAGTCGACTCAAAAGTTGAGCTGCTGCCCTTTCAGCGCGCCCTAGATGCCATCTCCCAGCAGCAGGGTAATCTTGTTGGTGTGTAATCTGCCTGGCCAAAAGACTCCTCACGCCTGGAGAGGAGTGCTGCTTTTGAGGCCTAGAGATGAGTGTTGCTTTTGAGGCCTGGAGACAAGTGCTGCTTTTGAGGCCAGGAGACGAGTGCTAAAAAATAGACTCCTCACGCCTGGAGAGGAGTGCTGGTTTTGAGGCCTGGAGATGAGTGTTGCTTTTGAGGCCTTGGAGACGAGTGCTGCTTTTGAGGCCAGGAGACGACTGCTCAAAAATAGACTCCTCACGCCTGGAGACGAGTGCTGCTTGCGAAACCTGGGAACATGGGTGGCGTGTTTCGCAGGTTCTTAAGGCGCTCGTATCCCAGGCTGTGAGCACAAGGACTGTTGAGCTTGAGTTGGTTCTTGAGAATTCTCAAAAACCAATTACCACAAGAACTATTGCAAACACGCACGCGATCGGACGACTAGGTATCCTGGAACGATTGCAGGAGATCCATCTAGGCAACTATCGCCTCCGGTGCATTCCGCTGCTGATATGCTGGACCCCTGTAACTCTTGCTGTTTGGAATGGAATAGCAATCTGCTGCCCTATGTCCGTATCTCCCACAGAAATCGCAGGTGCCTCCAAACCCCTTCCGCTGCTGCCAACCTTCTCCATCGCTAGTAGCTTCCTTCCCATTTTAGTTCCCGCTCTTAGGATTGTCATAGCAGTCTTTCGCCTTATGCCCTTTCTTGCCGCATTGGTAACAAGCACCACTAATCCTCCAAGCTGCTACCGCATTCACCATCCCCGGCTTTTCCTGCGCGCCATATGCAGCTTCCGCCTTCCGCATATGCGCTGTCTTCATCGCCTCAATCGACTGCAGCTTGTCCACTAACTGCGTCATGCTCTTTGGAGGGTGAAGTACAAGGCCGCTCTTCTTTGACGAGTCCGTCTCCTTCTACCGCCGCTTTCCCGACCGAGGTCCCCCGGTTACCCACCCCCTGTTATGGGTCATACCTTCCCCGGTCGTCCCTGCCCCTCTCCTTCCCCCTCCCCGCCCTGCCCCCTTTGGTGTGTCCCACGTCACCCCCCTCACGTCAGTTGTCCCAGTTGATGAGTCTGCTGACTCTGGTGGTCCTGCGGCGCAATCTTTGCCGCCCGCCCCTCCTCAGGTGTCTCCTCCTCCGCCGCCTTGGCAGCCGCTGTCGCCACAGCTATCGCAGTCATCGTCACCGCCCCCGCCGCTGCCGCAGCCATCTTTGCAGCCGCCGCCGCCACAGCCGTCGCTGCAGCAGTTCGTTGACTCTGAGGGTGCTCGAGTTGGGGTGGGTTCTAGTCCTGGGACTCCTGTCGTGGCTTGTCCCGGCGGGCCTGGGGGTGGTACCGGTGCTCGAGGGGTTCTGAGCTCTGAGGGTGTCCCTTCTAGGGGTGCTGGAGTGGAGTGTTCTGGAGGTAGCCGTCCGGCAGCTTGCGGTCCCAGTGTCGGCGTCGCACCGCCGCAGCAGCCGTCCCCGCCAAAGTTAGCTCTTCGCTTGCTCGGCCTTCCGTCCCCTGACCCTGCGTTTGTGCCTCCTCCTCCTCCTGTCTACGGCCCTGTGTTCCCTCCCCAGACACGTACCCGGCCCGTCTCCCCCCTCGTTCCCCTCTTGTGTCTCCTCCTCTGTCTCCTGACTCGACGCCTCCGTCGCACGTCTGGGCTCGCCGTCCCTCCCATGCTCGCCCTGTCTCCCCTGTCTCGCGCTCCCACCCTATGTTGCTTCGTTCCCACGTGTCTCGTCCTCCCCTCCTGCCGTCACCTCCCCCGTCCTCCCTTGTCGTTGCGCGCCCACCTCTGTCTGACTACCTTCGTGCCGCTCGTCCTCTTGTTCCTCGGGTCCTTGCCTCTCTCGTCACCGACCCGTCTGTTCCGGTCTCGTGTCTTGACGCTCCTGTCGCTGCGGTCGCTGACTTTGCCTCTTCTCGCCGCCTTGACTACTCCACCGCTCTGGTCTCTGACCCTGCCAGTCCTCCGTCTATCGAGGGTGCTCCTTCCCTCGGCAGTGACGTCCTGGAGGACCGCCAGTACGAGCTTGCTTTCCTGTCCGAGGCTGCTCCCCATCTCTGCTCCATGCTACTAGTCTCTGAGGGTGACCCAGATGCTTTCGACATCACGACCCCTCGCACTTACGCTGAGGCGGTTTCGGGACCTCGGGCCTCTCAGTAGATAGCTACCGTGGAGCAGGAGATGGCATCTTGGAGATCCACCGGCACCTACATCGACGCAGTTCCCCCACTTGGGGTGAACGTAGTTGATGGCCACTGGCTCTTCAAGGTGAAGCGCCCTTCTGGAGAGCCGCCTGTGTTCAAGGCGCGCTATGTGGCTAGAGGTTTTACTCAGCGTGAGGGGGTGGACTTCTTTCAGACCTTCGCTCCGACCCAAAAGATGACTACTCTTCGGGTGCTGCTACACGTAGCAGCTCAGCGTGACTACGAGCTTCACTCCCTTGATTTCTCGACAGCATTTCTTCAGGGCAGTCTACACGAGCAGGTCTACCTGCGCCGCCCTCAGGGCTTCACTGGTACCTTCCCTCCTGGGACCCAGTGGCTCCTGCGGCGCCCTGTTTACGGCCTGCGGCAAGCTTCCCATGAGTGGCACGAGACGCTGCGTGCTACCCTTGCTGACCTGCAGTTCTTTCCGTGCCCTGCAGACCCCTCGCTCTTCGTTCGTGCTGGCCAGACCCCCTTCTACATCCTTGTTTACGTAGACAACCTGGTCTTTGCGACGGCAGACAGAGACGCACTGGCCTCCGTGAAGGCAGAGCTGCTGAAGAGACACACCTGCACTGACCTTGGAGAACTGCGCCACTACCTTGGCTTGCAGATCTCCAAGGACAGAGCAGCGTGCACTATCACTTTAACCCACTCATACTTGGTGCACCAGGTCTTTCAAAGGTTCGGCCTTCAGTTCTCCTCCGTACACCCCACTCCTCTGCCTCTAGACCACAGGCTCTCCGCTCCAGTTCCTGAGGAGTCGGCAGAGCCCAGTGGTTCTTACGCAGAGCTAGTGGGTTGCCTCATGTACCTGATGACTTGCACTCGCCCAGATCTCGCATACCCTCTCAGCATCCTGGCTCGCTTTGTGGCTACACGCAGACATCAACCTCAGCACTGGTCTGCTGCTAAGAGAGTTTTGCGTTATCTTGCGAGTACATCGGGCATGGGGTTAGTGCTAGGAGGACGCAGGCCAGTGGTCCTTACTGGACACACAGACGCTTCTTGGGCAGACGACGCCAAGACCCTCAGGTCCTCGCAGGGCTACTGCTTCAGCCTTGGCTCAGGTGCCGTCTCGTGGAGAGCTACCCGCTCCTCGTCTGTTGCCCAGTCCAGCTGTGAGGCCGAGATCTATGCTGGTGCCATGGCGGCACAGGAGCTCCGCTGGCTGACCTTCTTGCTCACTGACTTAGGTGAGCGGCCTAGCTCTGCCCCGGTCATGTACGCTGACAACAAGGCCATGATCCTCCTGTGTCAGGAGCCTCGACTCGAGGGCAGAGCGAAGCACATCCAACTGCGGTACTTCCTCCTGCGTGAGCTCCAGTAGCGCCGCCAGTCGCGCGTAGTACACTTGGCCTCCGGTGCCAACACAGCTGATATCTTTACGAAGGCGCTTGTGCCTAAAGATCATCAGCGACACTGTGTACAGCTAGGTCTCGTTCCTGTAGCCTCTCACTTGCTAGGGCCTTGACTTTGTAGTATCCTTTATGCATATATATATATTTTACCCTGACTGGCCTTGTGGCCTCATCCAGTGGCTGGACTACTAGTGCCGCCCAGGTCTTGCTCTTGCCTTGTCTGTACTCCTTGTGACTGGTCTTTAGACCCTTGTCTCAGAGGCTGGACTAGTAGTGCCGCCCTGAGCTGCTTCTTCCCTTGTTAGGCACTGCCCCTATATAGTCTAGGGAGTGTGTCAAACATAACTTATGCAGTTACTGTAGAGTATATGTGTTTGTGCCTTAGTGAGTACAACTCACCAATCTATATTGCCATGTATCTCCCCATTCTAGTCATTATTCATTCTGATAGTCTCCTCTTGCTGTTGCTGGAAAATCGAATGCATTGGTACTGTAACGAGCCTATGCAGTTGCTCCTCTCATAACAATACAAAAGGGATACAGATACAAGGTATCCTAGGACAGTCAATAGAGGCAGGTTTCAGACAAGCATTATAAGACAGTCGTTCACTGATTTCTCCCTCACCCCTTGCACACTCACATTCGTTCTCTCCCCCTTTTTCTGTCCAGCCATCAGCACCATCCAGGCCTGTCTTGCGATTCAGGCAGCGCCATGGGGGTCACTAGTGACAAGAGGCAGCATCTTCCGTGCAGTTTCCCAGACATGACCTTCACATCTCCCAATATGCTGCTGTGCTTGACGTCATTCAGCACCACCCTGCCTGTTCATTCATAACAAATTGCGTACTACAGTAACACTCTCGCGCCACCCTTCGCATGCACACAGAATTTCCTTCCCCTCCCCTTTTCGCGAAACGCGATTTCGTGGCTGACCAACCCCGTAGGGCGTGTCCCACTCGTACACTCGACTGCGGTCGGGAACGGTTCAAACACTTG